TTTATTTGATCCGAGTCCTGTGTAAAACAATAGTTTTTAGCAAAAACATTACAATTTACTAACAGCCAGTGTATTGTTAAAGATTTTCTTCAAGAAAATAAATATCCTTCTTTAGCTAGTCCTTGAAGTAGTTCAATAGCAACCTTCTGATCTTGCTGCCTTATCTTGTCAACCAATTCCATGCCATAAATAATAGGCTAACCAATATTTTACTTCTTTATCATCTTCAGTTTTTTTAATATTTCTCAAAACTCTCTTAAAATATTGTTAATTTCAATATTTCTTCCTGACCATCAAGGTTTATACTATGAAATTCAGCAAGAAATTGAGCAAATAAGCAATCAAAGTATTTTATGGTCAGTGATCATGAGACCGCGACGAATACCAAATAAATGATATGACGATGACATAACCTGTCACAGACATTTTTCTAACCTACCTAAAATAATTTAATTCATTAAAAACTCTCTGATGGCATCTTGATGTATTAGTACGATTAAGTTAGCTTATACTAAGGCTTGTGTCAATGAATCCTTACGTCTAATATCAACTGTATTGTAGTATGTAGCTTTAATTGGAAAGCAAGGCAAGAATTCATTATTCAGTAAGAAATTGAGCAAATGCATTAGTACGATTAAGTTAGCTTATACTGAGGCTTGTGTCAATGAATCCTTACGTCTAATATCAACTGTATTGTATACTTTAAGATGTGTAATTGATGACGGAAATGCATGTGACTTTAATTAGAGAGGGCAAGAATTCATTGTGCACTATAATTTTATTCATCTTAAGGTTTCTCGCAAAAACTAAAGACCACTTAAATTTTGAGAGTTAACTCAATATGAATAAAAATAGTTGATATTATTATTTAAGAAAATATGCTTAGCGACAAAATACAGTATAAGAGAATATTTAATTTTAATGGACACCCTTAGACCGAATTCATCAGTTTAACAGAAAAATTTGCAATAATTTATAATGGTTACAATAGATTAATAATAAAAATTGATATACAAAAAAAGTTCAGGCTACTCATATTATATGAGCCCAGTTTTATTTCGATATAATATTTTTTTTAGTCCAGATTTCTGTTATATAACTAAAGTATGGTGCCATAATTAGTTATGTCATGTAAAAATTGTAATAATATAATAAAATCATTAATAAAAATATGTAA